GCTGAAGAGCTCAGCCCCTGCTGGGGGCATCTTCAGACAGGTCCTTCTTGGGCAGGGGGGGGCAGGGGGGCAGCCCCACAGATAATCTGCCACTAAAGCCCTGTAGTTGTTTAGGACACCCAGGAGAGAGGAGATCCCTTAGGACAGACCCACCGGATCCTCCTTCCTTTGCACCGGTCAACAGCCTGGCTGCTTCCTTTCCCAGCCATTGCAATTTTGAAGGCTTTCAAGGGCAGCCCCACATCAAGGGCATTGCAGTAGTCTGGATAGGTTGCAACCAAAGTGGGGATAATTCTTGCTAAGTCTGAATGGCTCAAGAAGCTTCACAGTTTTTATTTATTTATTCCTGTGTATCCTGCCTTTATTATTATTAATAATAATATTAATATTATTATTATTGCTACCAATAATTCAAGGCAGCGAACATACCTGATATTCTTTCCTCCTTCTGTTTTCTCGCAACAACAACCCTGTGAGGTGGATTAAGCTAAGAGAGAGTGATTGACACCCTGCTTTCGTGACTAAGGCGGGACTAGAACTGCCCGTCTCCTTGTGATTGGCCCAGAGTCACCCAGCTGATTTCCAGGGCTAAATTGGGACTAGAACTCCCGGTCTCCCACTTCCTAGCCAGCTGCTCTAACCACTAGGCCAAATTGGCTCAGTTGGGACTTGAAGCCCAGGGAGGTCTGCAAAGGTTAATCTATTCGTAAAAGAACCCAATTTTTTACTTTGCACCCTTCACGGAATGAAAAAAGCAGCCAACGTGGACAGAGACACACCAGACATGCAGCTTCCAGGGAATTAAACCAGGGTTAACTCTAACCGAGGTTTGGACAATCTGCAAAGGAAGCTGCAAGTCGGTTGCAATTTATTGTCATCAAAGATGTTTGCAATACAGCAGGTTAAGCCTGTTCTGCAGACCCAGCTGTCTCCCCCTCCCCGTCCACCCTCCTCCTCCCCCTTCCTGACCCCCCCTCTTCTCATTGGGCCTCCTGTCCTCCCTCACAGGTACTGGAGCTGATTGTCCCTCTGATTGGTCCTCCTTTAGACGGTATTGCTACCAGGTCTTCCAACAAAAGATGAACTGGGAAGATGCAGAGGTGAGGGGTCTTTGTGTGCCTGAGGGTCTCCCAGCCCAGGCGGAGGAGAGGAGACGTCCAGGGAGAGCCTTGCAGAGCCCCCAAGTGGATAGGATGGGAGGGAGGGAGAAAGGGACCCCTGAGAGGCAGATATCCTGGGGACCCTCCCTCTGAGCCCCCTGGAGCTCCCCTTCTCCGCCCTGGGAGCCAGCAGGAAACGGTGCCAGGATCCTCTTTGCTGCCCCCCCCCCACAATGCCGGTCCCTCCGCTGCCTCCGGGCATCAGGTGGGGGGAGGGCAGCAGCCTCATCTGGGGGATTTCCAACTTTCCTGGCTTGTTTTCCTGCCCTCCTGCCCCCCATCTCCACCAAGGCCTTTCCTCAAGGTGGCCTTTTTTAAAATCTATTTCTATTCCACTTTGGTTATTTTTTACAAATAACTGAAGGTGGCCAGCACACACAATAGTCCTTCTCTTTTCCCCAGAACAACAACCCTGTGAGGTGGACGGGTCTGGGAGGGAGGGACTGGCCCCAGGTCACCCGGCGACTTCCATGCCTCAGGCGGGACTAGAACTCCCAGCTTCCTGGCTGCTGGCCTGGTGCCTTCCCCACTGGAGCAAACTGGGAGGAGAAAGGGAGTTTTGGCAGAGGCCGGAGGAGGGATCAGAGACCTCTCAGAGACCATGTCAGGCTGGGGAAGTGAGGGGCGTTGGGGGGGGAGATTGGGGAGGGGTCTGGTTCAGTTAGGCAGCCTCCCCCTTCCTCCTATCGCCCAGGTCTGGACAGCCCTTTGTCCGGAATGACGGAGGGGG